AAACTTGGGCAGATGAACGGTTTTTTACCATTATGCTTGTCATTTTTTACGTACCTTGCACCGCGGTATGCTACTGATGATCGCCGATTTGACAACCTTGTACTCGTGCGTTATCACTTGTAAATCACATTTTGACTTTCCTGTTTTGAAAAAAAATTGATTTTTAAAAGATTTTCCGCTAAGCTAAGGCTTCAAAGATTTAGAACATTTTTTATTTGAAGTGCTAATTACGGTACAGTTTCCATCTCTTCTGATTTCAGGTAAGCAGTCTACTAGTTAACCTGGTTGAAAGGTGCAACTCAAACAGAAGAAAGTTGATTAATACCAAAGTGAGGTTTTACAACAGAGAAACTAAAGTCGTTCAAGATGAGGTTGCACTGAAAGCACTTTCTCAGGTCAGCATAGCTAAAGTTTCTATTGATGCGATATTGTCAGTTATGTTACTGTAAGATTTGACGTCTTTATGCTCATGTCATAATGTTTTCAAGATGTTTGTACTTCACGACTCTGCTGCGCGTACGGTCGATGAAGAACTCGACAACGATTTGATTTTGGAGGGTGTTTCTGATGAAGAATGCGATGATAGTGATGAAGAGAAGAAAGGTTTTACCAATATATGTAGTAGAGTGTAGCGGACTTTATAATATTTTTTCTTCAGTGCTGGTGGTTGTGAGTTTCGCTAGTCATTATAGTAGTCGATTTTAGCGAGTGACGATGGTCGTTTGAAACGTCGAGCACCCATAGAACTTACTGAAGACGAGATGGCAGAAACTATTCAGAGAGCTATGAACAAAGCAAGTTCTCATATGGAAGATTCTGTTGTTGCTTCTTACGTTGCGTTGATAATTGGTTGTTTAATGCAGCAGAATGAAGTACGTTTGTTCTGCTTCTGCTCATATCATTATCTTTCGGTATATTTATGGTCGCTTCTGTATTTTTGTTGGGTAATGCGAATACCTCAACAGAATGTATATTAAAATAATTTTTAGGAGTCTATTTCTGTTGTTAAGGCCGAGATGCCTAATGGTGATATTTCCGGTTTGACTGCACAGTTGCAGCGATTCCTAGATTTTATGAAATACATGGCATGTTTTATCCTTCCCTTTTACAGTTGCCAAGTTTTTTTATTGGTTGCTTTTTGTCAGTCGTATCAAGGTGCATATAGTCTGTTTCTTAAATTAAAATGTTTTATTACAGAGAATGCGAGGATCGTCTCATCGGTCGGTAGAGCATATTATTGAACTTCTCGATGACCTTAATAAATAAGATGCATTATTCCTGTTTATACTTCGGTTCTACTACTTTTTCTATTTTTTCAAAAGTAATTGAGGACACAAAGTTAGTTTTTCTTTATTTTGATTTCTTGTGACTTCGGAATATGATTACGAAATTTTGTTGATACACAGCTTCTTTGTTGTTTATTTACTCCGGTTGTTAATTTGCGGCAATCGCTACCTACATTTGTGTTTACAAAAGGTCCTTTGCACGTTTGGACACTGTTCTCTGATCAGTTGTCTATTTTTTCCTAATTTGAAGAATCTGATTGCTGTAAATCTTACATGTTACAAACTTTTTGTTGCTTACCATGACGTTTACGAAGTGGATTTTCGTTTTAAGTTGTTGTATGGTGTGGGACTACTTTTTATGATATATTGTTTAGATCTTATAGTAGTCGAGCATTTAAGAGTACCGAGAAGAATTGGCTGCAATGTTTTGAGCACTATTTTGGTTTTCCTTGTGCTGCAGCATATCCTAGTCTAACTGACTTTACTACCTGTATTAATTATAAAGTTGTTTGAAAACTAGTTAACATTTCTACATCATGCATTTGTGCTGAAAGTTGGAAGTCGGTGTTAATGGTGTATGTATCAACGGTTTGTCATCGGTATCATCATCGTTTGCGCTGTAAGATGCAACAGTGGTCGACTACGGTGCTGTTTTACATAGCAGTTTCTGTTGCATTATTTGTCTTTTAGTTCTTTTTGTTCGTGAAGATCGTCACTTTTAATGTTTCAAAGACTGAACAACCTAAATTTTTGTCAAACATTAAGACCTGGAAATTTTGGTGACTACTCTGGCAGTCAATGGCCGCCTATAAATTTTTCTTAAGGAAGGCTTTGAAAAAGTACAGTTTCGCTACATTCTGTATATCCTGAAGCAGTTTTGATCAGTAGATTATGTAATATGAGGTGGATCCGTATTCTAATTCATGGAACTGAAGGAGGCAGTTCTCTTGTCGCGTTTGTGCTTTTTCAGTGTAATTTTTCATATTTGGTCAGTGGTTCCAAGGTATTCTTTGAAGATTAATTGAGAGTAGAAGAAAAACTAGGTGTTTGGAAGTCGAGTAGTGTTGGAGAGGGTCGGTTCAAAGTAATACCCAGCATCTAGTGAAGCAGTTTGACCCTGTCAGTCATGAAATTTTCTCTATATTTGTCAAAGAATTGGGGCTTTGTTCTTCTCTAGATTATCACCAGAAAGCAAGCAGTAGAAAGATTTAAAGCTTAGCTGTTTTTATTTATAGCTCTAAAGCGAAGAAAATGAAGAAAGAAAAAGGGGTTTTTAAATCTTGTAAAAGAGAATCCTGTAGAGGCAAAGAATCTAACAGTTACTGGCAGGAGGTACATTTTTAAACACAGGAGATGTCTTGGCGCAGAACTCCGTAGAAAGTTTTTTGTGGTAATTGCGGGATTTTGTTAGTCAAGTCTGCTGTCAACTGCGGTACTGAAGACAGAATTTTCAAAACTGTATAACGATATACTGTACAACAGCTCACTCGACAGCAGTGCAAGTAATTTCCGCCAAATCCAACTGTTAAGAGCACTGAGGAGGGTAAATTCTAGCACCTTCAGTAAGAGAGACTTCCAATAAAAAAGGGAGATGGGTGAAACAAATGCTAAAAGATAATACATGGTTGAGAACGCGTTGAGAAGTAAACAAGAATGTTTTCAGTTTAGGAAAAATGAGCTTTTTGCCGAGGAGGAACTTTGTTGAATTATCATCATTGTCGTACCGTCGCAGCATTACAGTTAAGAGTAACCACTGCCAAACAAGCTTTTTTTGATCCTCAACCTTTGTTTTCTTGTACGCAGGCTTTTCGACCTCGCTTAATTCACCTGTGAAAGTTTCAGACTTGCCTTGTTAGTTCTTGGCAAATTTATAACAGTCTAATGCTAAAAAGTCGCCGTAATCTTCATATCGTTTCACAACGCCGCTGTTGCGCCGCCGGATTGTGTGATGGTTAACGCGCAAACTACATGTGGTCGTTCTTTAGGAATTTTGAAGAGGATCACGTCCACAACGCGAACAATTTCTTCTGATAACAGTTCTCAGATACTATTGCCTTTTTCGACCCTTCTAATTAATTACCTTAGTTGTGTGCAGAGGACTCAAAAAAAGGCACTAAGCGGCTAAATGTTTTAGGATTCTGTTTTTACCGTTTTTGTAAACTTTCCTGACTGCTTCTCAGTTCGACAGACATAAAACAAGAACCTAAGCTGTAGACTCCTAACAGCAACTTTGTTTTAACCATTTTCTGTTTCCTCTAAACTTGTTTTAACTATATTAAATGTCTCGTAACCTGTAACCAACTCTCTTCGTTTTTTCCATAGTTTTTTTTCTCAAAATTACTTTTTCTATGTTTTGACTTTTTTAGGTTGGAAAGCAAGGTTTAAGAATGATAAGGGTAAATTTAAACATCTCTAGAACGTGAACGCATTCAATGCCATCTGTTGAGTACTATGTATGTGACTAAAGGGCTGTGATTAAAAAAGTATTTTTGAACAGGCCAGAAGGTTAATAAATTTGAGAACTTTGACTAGATGAATTACGCGGTGGACGGTCCTACATCCTCCAGATTTCTAGGATCCTGGTTACAAAATGCTCGCACTGCTCATTACGCCGTCCGCGAACAAGAAGATTGCGTTGTAAAAGGCAAAAAAATTAAAGCAGATTTTAACATCAGACCGTTAGAAGTTTAGCAAAAGCTGCGTAGGCAAATCTAAAGCTATCATGGATGAATTAGACGGTGCTCAAAAGCTTAATATAAAAGAAGAAGTTAGCCTGACAATCATAAAGAGCATGCTTAGAAGCGGTCAATTTTGACTGCAGTAGCGCCGTATATCATTGATAACATCCATAACAACCTGCTGCAATAACTGCATTAACTATTTAAGGTTTTGTTAGAAAAAAACAGAACCGAGTGAGGAAGTAGCCAACTCTGTCTGCCTTAGCAAGTCCAGTTTTGTCAGGTAGATAGCCAAATCAGCTGCAGCAACAAAAACTTACAGGTCTTAACAGGACAACGCCATGTTATTTTTGTACTCGCATTTGACGTTTCCTGGAAC